TTCTTTCAAGTTTCAAGTGAACTTAAAGAAAGAAAGTAGTATGAAGCTAGCCTTCTATGCTTCCAAACACATGAAGAAAGTGGACGAAAGAAAAGACAGAATGCTGATTGAGGGAGTGACTGTACCTGGATATTGATCATAGTTATAGTTGTAGAGGAAGTTAAGAGAAGGTTCTGGTCGAGAAGCAAAGGTCCGTAAGGTGCCATTCCAATCCATTTTTGACTTGTGTCGCCTGGACTTTGATCTTCCCTCTTCTAATTCCTTCAAATCGACCAAAGTTTTTCTGTATTCTAAAGAGTGCTCCTCTCTCGGGAATACATGGACCACCAAGAGAAAGCGAGAGGGGCAGAGAGAGAGAGAGAGAGTGAGCTTAAAGACGCGTGGCAAGGCAGAGTTGGGCAAGGTTTTCTTTCTTCTCTGTACTCGTCTTTTGGGGTGCAACAAAGTGAATGCGTGTGAAGGAAAAAACACCGTGAGGGTTCTCTCTACTTCACTTTTGGGGTGCAACAAAGTTTAATGTGTAAATTTAAAGGGAGAGATAGCTGGACTCTTGTCGGTTAATTACAAGAAGAAGAAGTAAAATGGAGAGAGAGAGCGAGGAAAAAAACAAAAAAGAAGAAAGAAATTGCAAATGCGCAATCATAGGTCTCCATCTGGTCCCAGAAACCTGCCTCTATACAACTGACATTATGCCTTCTCTTTCTCACGCCTCGACCTGACTCCTCCTCAGTCCTCACCCACCATATACTAAGTGCCCTCTACTCTATCCCTTACCATCTTTGAAATAATTAAATTTAGATCTTGCTAAGATGGTGGTAATGTAGAGATAGGGAAATACTGTTGAAAACTGACAAGCCAAAAATGAGGCATAGGTGAGGCCACAATGGTACGTAGGAAGCGACCTTAAGAGAAGAGAGGTGGCACAATATCAATGCACCAAAACCTGCCACCTCTTACTGCACAAAATAAAGCACAAACGCAAAGCAGAAAAGAATTAGAGTGGTATGTAGAGAATTCATTTAAAAAAAAGAAAGGGAGAGTTGGGCTCATCCTATTGTTTCACCCTCCCTATACCACCTTAATTAACTTGCCGTATCACAGCAGGGAAAGAAGAAATCTGTCTCTCTTTCTCCCTTTTGTTTTTTGTTTTTTTTTTTTTCCTTTCTCTCTCTGTCTTTTTGTCCTGATGGGTTGGCTTGGATTTGCTGAATAGCCATTCTGCAATTGAATTGAATGAATTGTGGGGTCAGGCCTAGCTATATAAGAGCTTCAGGCAAGCGGGGGGGGGCGAGGAGGAGGGGGAGGGCGGATCGTTTGGGAACGGGCGGGAAGGCGCGGGAAGGTAGAGCGGATAAAGAGAGAGAGAGGTGAGAGGAGGAAGAGTATCTTTTGGCAGAACACAAACGTGAAATAGTTAACGGTAAGAAGAGATGTATATCAGAGTATTGATATATTGAGCCCCAAATCCTGAAAGAGATGAGACAGCGGCCAGAAGTCGCTGCCTGTATTCCTTTCTTCTCTGTTTATTATAAGATATATTAATATATAATAAAATCTGAGTTGGGTGACAAGTGACAACAACACTTCATATTCCATAACTAGAACGGCAGGACCCCAAGATATTTGAGAAAGATAAAAAGGTTTTTAACAGATTTAAATCATCTGGATTTGTGCTTCAACTTCTTCTGTTCTGTCCTTTTTGCTTGTTTAAATAGCAAGAAAAACTTGCACTTTCCCCTAAAGCAGGCACCACAACCTTTACACTTATCCAAAGAGAAAAAAATAGAAATAAATAAAATAAATGGACACCCATTGCTTCCTAGATGCCAGCTTCTCTAATCCCAATGTCACGACCTCAAATTAATATTTTTTTTCCTTCGTCTTCTTCTTCTTCTGTCTTACTCAACTTTCCCTGACAAGTAATTTTGCCTCCAACAAGATGAAGCATTGAACTTCAGTAAACAGGAGTAAATCTTGGGTTTCTTCTCATGAATAAAACTATTACATTATTATGGAATATAAAATAAAGGGGGTGAAATAAACACATCAACCAACAACTTTTAGGAAGACAACCACATGCTTTTTTAGGAAAGAAATTTACAAAGACAGAAGAAGCCATGGACATTTTCAATTTAAGACATTGCAAGTAAGTACAGTAAGCCTCTGAGTATATAACAGAAAAATTAAATCTGAAGCTGTCTGGAATATTAATTGGGACATTTACATAGAGACACTGTTATACACAGTGAAGATGTGCACCATGGCACAGACAAATTGAAAATATTTGTCGTTAAAGATTTTGACCCACCATAAATTTGGCCATCCTTCCCGCAGCTGATAATACTCTGACCTTGTTCTTGTTGGCATAAGAAAACCAGATGGAGACCTTTCTCTTTCAGAACCACAGTGCCCAGTTTCCATAATATTTTTTTTTTCTTTATTTTTTGTGATTGTTCGTGTCATTATTCGGGAAAACTTCAAGTGAAAATTTACCCTTTACCTGTTAGAAAAGGGAAAACCTTACTTACATAAACAGGAGATATGTCAGCAAGCTATAGGGCTGCTAGGCTCTAAAGGTTTAACTTTAGAGGTGCAGCCCATTAAAGCTTTGTAGCCAGCGTCCTCACCTTTTTTCATCCACGAGATGATGAACATGCCATCTCAATGCTTCCTCATTTCATTATCAACCCCCTAAAATTCTACTGAAACATCTCAGTTTGAAACATCATCTTGACACAAGCACAATAACATTGAACCCTGGGGAGATACAAACCAAAAAACCAAACTAACAACAAAAATTTTCACTTATCTTTCAAAGGCAAAACATTTCCTCAACAGTTTCTCTATTGGGTCAGTGACCCACCCCCCATCAAAGCCCAAAAGAACCAAAAGTTTTCAGACCCAATGGGGCAAAGACCTCAAACAGATGAGACTGTACGGTCGGAGAACAACATGAGCAGCTACCACTCGCTTTTCATTGCTATCTTTCTAGGTACTTTTAAAAGTTTAAAGTCTTAAGATTGCAAAACACAGGCTCAAATCAAACACACTTGATGAAAAGAACTTGACCTTTGTAAGAGAAATCTAGAAACCGGCACAGCAAGGAAAGTACATGATTCCTAAGAGATCTGGACATTAATGTTAGATTGGGCCAGCTATTTCTTGGTACCAAGCTATAGCTAATAAACTTTATTCTTGCAGATTAGATTTGAGTAATTGGTTGACATAGCACACAAAACATTAATTGAAAGAGAGAGCATCAATCTTTTGGTTGGAACAGAGCATATAGAGGAGGAGGACCTAATTCAATTTATAGCCGTAAAGTTTAGACGTCAAATTGATGGATTTGAAGCTAACAATAATAATGATTACCCTGATGGCAAATAGTTTTATATTTCAGGCAAAGTTTAATGTAACCTACAACCAAAATTCTTAAATATGATATGCATGAAACTATAATCAAGCTTTGATATTCCAAGTAACAATGACTTGTTGGCAAAGCAGGAAAGATGATTACGCGAATGCTAAGTAGCATTTCAATGCCAAACAAGCAACCAAGAGACATAGATCCACACGGTCTTACACCACAAGATTGCTCCCGGTTGTCTAGGTTTAAGATTTAAGAACGGTCTTAAACACCAAGTTTAAGGTAATAAGCGGCTGTCTAGGTTATAAAATGTTGTTGAGACCGCCAGTGGTCCTGTCCTGATTTAGGCAAGCTTTAGAGATACAGAGGGGGTTAGATGCTCCCCTTTAAACCTATTAGAACTAATTCATGGACGATGGCTGGCTCGAGAAATGAACAAGAAAGTTAGGGCGGCTGCGCCGATCGTGGACCAATGTCTAAATGTTAAGCTACATGAGATTTCATGAACCAGGTATTTAATGGGAAGGCAAAGAACCCATGTGGAAAAAGGAACATGTTATTCACCTTTGCAACTGAAACGTGATCATCTTCAAGAGAAAGTTGACACTTGGATGGGGCCTAACCTTGCCAATGGCATAGCATTTTGAAACAGCTATGATTAAAATTTATAACAATAATCATAATAAAACAAAAAGTGAATCGAAACGCTAATCTCAATGTTAAATGATCCGGACGCAAAGGACTAGTTCAAGTCCAAGTAAAACATTACACCTGCCGGTTAAAGTCTTCAACAATTAACTTGGAGAAAAAGACAGATGTGATTCAAATGAAACCAAACTGCAAATAACAGCAACCTAATCACAACCACAGACGTAGAATTAATGTATCTAAAAGCAATAAGAGAAAAAGCATGATGATAGTCTTCATTTCTGCTAAAAAGTTGTAATCCTGACTGGAAAAGAACAAGTATTTAACTACTTCGTTCCAAACAAAAAGGGGAGGGGAGGGGGTAAGAAAACAATCATTTCATAAGTTCAAAATATTCAAACACCTGGTTTGGTCCCAGTCAGAAAGGAATACATGATCACAAAATGCATGGGCACAATGAGAAAAATGTTTTACCACATAAACTGTGTTTTAAGCAGCCAAAACTTCTTCCTGGTGGTCCAGCCTAGCATGAACCTCTTTCATTTGCTCACAGCTGTAAGACGACTCCTGGACCAACCTTTAGTAAAGAGGACTATCGGCCTAAGGACAGAGTTTACACTAGGAATGCAGCTTACTTCAGTCTTATCTTACAACAACTTTAGAACGAACCAATGAATGACAATTTATTCAAAGATTCGAAACTGGACCACCTACCTACAAAAAACAAGCCAATCCAAACCATGACAAGGCCAGGTAGGAGTTGTGAGATTTTGTTTTCTTCTCTAAATTTTTAATACCATATGACAAATGAAATGAAAACAGAATCAATCAATTTGACGAACCAAATGGTTGAACTACATGTCAAATAGTCAAT